ACCATGCATGGAGGATACAGTCCTGAGTGCAGCCGCCTTCCTTTCCAGCTACCAATGAATTTCTTATTGATATAAAGTTTTTCATACTTTCCTGCCATTTTACAACCTTTATCATACTTTTCATTTGAATTTTCTGTAATGCTTGTTGAAGTAGCTAATAATCAACCTGAACATTACCTTCCCGCAATGAAAGACAGTTGTTGCATGGTGGGGGACCATTGTTCTTTGGGGATACTATATGTGAGGGCTGAGATGGAAAAATAGAGAAAAATACAAGAACTTTCTGAAATAAAATCAGTTAGAGGCTGCAAAAGCCTTAGGATTGGGACAGATGTACACAAGTAAGACAATGCCCAGAAATATGAAGCCAGAACAAAACATGAACTGTTAAAATCTAATTTTTCAAGTGGCAGAATGGTCCAGAAATCCAGCATAAATTTGGCTTTCTATCTGAGGGGCGGATTAAAAATGAATAATCTCTGGGTGGTGCAGTTTGCAGCACTCCTGCCTTGTGGCAAGAAGGTTGCGGGTTCTCTCCCCAGCCAGGGGTCTTTCTGCATGGAGTTTGCATGTTCTCCACATGCATGATTCTCTCTTGCTGGTTCAAAGCCTTGCTTCCTTCCACTAAAACACATTGAAGTTAAAAATAAACTTTTTTGCAGATAAACTCGACTTTAACAGTATTTAACAGTAAAGTATTTTATATATATATATATATATTTTTTAACTCTTCACTATTATGTTACTTTATACACTCTTCTAAGGTCCACAATTGTGTGACCATTTTTTTCCTAGAATCTTTTTGCTGCTGTAACACCAGAGTTTCCCCATTGTTGGACAATAAAGGGATTTTCTATTCTATTCTATTGAAGAGTGCTGTCTTTATGTTACGTTGAAAGTTAAACATTTGTGTAAACTTCTTTATTTCTGAAAAATATGACCTGAAACCATATTAGCACTGAGTGCTGATGTTTTCGGATTGGAGGGTGGCTACTCCAGTTCAATTTTAGTGTGGTTATAAAAACAGCGATTGTGCTTTATCATGTCCAAGGACCTAAAAGTGCTTTACACTTAAATCAGTCATTCACACGCCTATAGTGCGGATCCACATAACCACAGTTACCCTGGGCTGACCGACAGAGTCAAGGCTGTCATATATCAGCTCCACTTGAGCAGGGGCTTGAACCAACAACAAAAAGGTATGAGGACACATCATCGTAAGCCACCTTCACCACTGCATAAAGAACCAACTGGCTCATTTTTCTCATGCCCTGTAACCATTTTAAAATATGAAACTTTAATATAGACCAATATATAATAGTTGAGTTACACTTGTGTACTTTAGCTTCTTGGTTTTGATTATTTAACAATTACAATAAATAAAGTATATAAAACAATTGAGAGGTGATTAACTCGAAACAGAAATACAAAGATATTCTTTCTCTAAAGAATTCTTTTTAAATAATTCCGGTTTATTTTTCTCTTCATCCAATTTTTAAACTTTATAAATGCTCTGTCAACCTTTATTCACAACCTCTCCAGTTAAAGATAGAAAATCATTTACTGGCACTATGGCAATGAAACTAACTAGAGATAGTAAGACAGAACTCTTTATTTATTAAAAGTAAGATTAGATTTTAACTTTTGATAATCAAAAACTAAACTTTCCTGGTAACAACAATTTTCACCCATGGAACACACTTCTATTTTTTTAATTATCTCATAAGAGACAAATCAAATTGTACAGAGATCCTCTAAAACCGCTAAATAATTCCATGGTAATTCAGAATTAAATTGATAAAAAAGTAAAAATAAACTGTTGAAATATTCAAAGTTAATTTAGAAAACGTCTTATGACAATATAAAGAAAATGTACATCCTATTAAAATAAAATAAGATGGACATCTGTGGAGGAAAAACTATGAGAGAAAAAAAAATGGAGGATGGATCCAAAATTATCCAAAATTCAATCATAACATGATAGAATTGTAAATTAAATATTTGTTAGAAATACTGTAAAGTAACTGGGTTCAGTTTTTTTCCCCACAAGTGCTACTAATAGTGTGACAAATCATGAGAGTCATCACATTATGATGGAAGTTAGGGTGCGTAATACATAAAACCACAACTCATATGCACAATGTGCACACGCATGATGCACATGTTGCAAAATACTTGTGCAACTTAGCCTCTTATGAGCAATGATTAGTTTTAGGACCTAATTTTAAGTTGGTTTCCAAGGCCTCCAGTTTCCTGATTCTCATTGGAATCTCCCATCCATGTTGCCACTTTAACAAGTAGTTCCCCTTATGGTGGATATAGTATAGGGATTAATTTAGAAGAAATGAAACAAAACTCAGTAACACCTCTCATGAGTTGGAAGAAATAAAATCCTAAAAGTTATACAAAAGCATGTTTTTTTAAAACTTGACTGGTGTGGTTGTTCCTGCTCCTAACTCTGTGGCTAGAGGATTGCCTCCAGCAGTGCATGCATCTATCCAGACCCCGCATCAGGAGCAGATAACCCTCCGGTGAGTTTTTTACCAAATAAAACTCGTTCTACGCTGCAGTTCTTCACTCTACGCCAAAACCACATCCAGCAAATTTCCAGATTTGTAACCACAGCCCAATCTCACTGCTCTAATCATGCGTCTAACGCTCCTATCGCTGCACCGCTTCACTCTGATCACCCTCCTTCCTGTCAATGACCCTTCTGTCCCCCATGAACCGGCCTTTACATAGGTATAACATTGAAATCCTTTGCTCGGTGTGAATATACTTTTAGTTGACTATAACGCACAAACATGGCGGTTTGTAACAGTTAGGGGTATCATGAAAGAAATGCCGTGGATGAGGGGTGCAACATAAATCGTATCCAATCTGAGAGCAGGTTTTAGGTGTAGTCAGTTTTCATGACATCTTCGCCTGCATGGGACCCCGTATCTGACAAAGAAAGACTCTGCTGAACTTGTTAGTTCAATCTCTAACGCTATGCTCTCTCTGCTTTTTCTCATAGTAGCTTCATCTGGTCTGTTCCTGTTTGGTTGTGACACCATCCTGCAGAGAAATCTCAGCTGTGCTGCTGCCATCAACAGCTTTGTTTATAGAAGTTGGAGCCTGTTTTTCAATGTAGTCCTGTTTCTCTGAATGTGTCTAACTGTGCTGGCTGAAAGTTGCCTTTTGTATCTCTGCATCTCTGCTTTGGTCTCCTTGAACCCCAGTCGGCTTCAGCAGATGGCCACCCACGAGCCATCGTTCTGCTGTTAAAAGGGAGTTTTTCCTCTCCACTGTCACTAAAAGCATGGCTGGTGTGAGGGATTGCCTTTGAGTCAATGAGTTGATTCAATCAGCTGGTTTTCCTTAGATAGAAAACTTTGAACCAATCTGACTCTATGACCTGGTTGGATTGTCTCTATAAAGTGCCTTGAGATGACGTGTTGTGAATTGGAGCTATATAAATAAGCTGAATACACCAAAAGGAGGCTGTGACAGCCTCCTTTTGGTTGCACAGTGCAAATGAATTAACATGAGTTCAAAAGTCCACTTAAACATGTATAAGCATGGTGGCTCATTTTCAGCTGTAGTCCCATAATGATGTACTAGCTATTAGAGTTATTTAAAGCTGGGGAGTCAGAGTGCCATAATCTTCAACCTGGTAAATGGTGACAATTAAATCATAAAAATGGGAGACAAAAAAAATATGAATTATTTTCACTTCTGATTAGAAAAGGAACACACCCATAGAACCATTACTAAGGAACACCCCCTTGGTCAGTTAGGAGTTTGAAATGGGAGCATTAATCAATAGTGTCTGTGTATTACGCTTTTAATTATCCTGCACAACTTTAAAATTAACCATTTAGATTATTTAAAGATCGAACTCGCCGTCACTTTCTTATCCTGCCAATAACCCTGCCTAACCCCATCCACTGCATCAGCCCATTTTGATGGAAGCTCTCAAAATGTGTCTCAGGATTAGGGCTGGGCCTGATTTTGAGGGATACTATCATGATAAAAAATAAAAGTAACAATTTAAAAAATAAAAAAAACATTACTTCTTCACAGCCTTGTGACTGTTTATATCATAAACCATGGCCCCACACTCACAAATAATACTAATATACACATTTATATGTGGCTTTGTCAGGACACTAGATATCTGGTAGTAAATGTATTTTATCAAATTCTTTAAATTTGTCAATAACCCAAAGGGAAAAAAAAAACAAATAGAAATAAAACAAAACTTAGAACACCTAGTTTCTTCAGATTTTAATCATCATTGCTTTTTACTCATCAGCTCCATTTTCTCATGTCAAAGACCTCTTTAATTACTTAACAAATGAGCAAAATTAAAAGACCTACCCAAGGGAAGTCCTTCATTAAACAGCTAAACTGCATTTAGTCACATAACTGCATAATAAAAAGGCCAAATGTGGCCAAATGTACACCAGAACTATTTCAGTGGAATACGCCCAACGGGGCCCTCTTCAATTAAATGAAGAGTGTTAACTATTTTTTCTTTTTTTTTAAAAGAAACTGTTGAGAAACCATCAAGAGAGACTTTAAACCCAACCAAAATAAAAAACAAATTAAAACAAAATTAATTAAAAACAATTAAAATCTATATGGGAAAATTGTGCCTCGAAACCATCAGTAAAGATCTCTGTAATTAAGCGAAATTAACTTAATATAATATGACTTTACTGTGTTTAAAAGTGCGCTTAAAGCAGATGCTTATAAGGCTGTTTTTTTTCCACAGTAATGAATCACAGGCAGTAGAAACTGTTTGCGACATGATGTCCTAGAAAGATGTGAACCAGACAAGTTGTTTTTTTCTCTTTTTCCAAACAAGTCGGGACTTGTAGCTGCTGGGAGAGACGTGAGAAACTAACTGTTGGCAAACATCGTCTGAAGAACACCGCAAACGTTTATAACTAGAGAGGAAAATAAGCAAACAACGGTGTTCGACACATGAAACGGATATAAAAAGTTTCTCTTACCTAAAGGGGAGATCTGCAAAGATCCCACAGGAATGCCTCCAGCTTAAAAACAACAAATAATTCAAGTCAGAAGCGTTAAAAATGAGTTATTTTGATTTTCTTCAAGTTGTTTATAGTGGCCTGACTACTCACTCGTCCATTTGGGAGGAAGGGAGCTGAAAAAGTCTCGGATAGCAGAAAAGTGGAAGCCCCTCCTCACTGCTACAATCTGACTGAGATTATGATACAAATTGCTCACATAGAGACCAGGGTTTATATTCTAACAGTGACGTTAGAAGGAGGAGTGAGATGAGAAAAGCTCCACTGAATCATCATATTTAGACACAAGCCTGAGGTGGTTTATTGGAAACACGCTGTGATCGGATAGAAGCAACATCTTTGACGCTCACTTCCGCCATCTGCAGCTCAAAGCTGCTATTTGTTACATTTTTACCCCGCTGCTAACTCCTGCCGCCCCCTTTTAAACCCAATCAGTTTTTTCTTCAGTACCACGGAAGATTAGGGCCACTGAGTTAACAGATTTCTAATTGTTATTTCAATTTCATATGGGGAAAAAATTTGAATTCTTACTTTAATCTCAGAATTCTGACTTTAATCTCAAAATTCTGAAGAAAGCTGCAGAACACCACATATTCATTATCTACATTATTGTTTGCTTTTGCAGATTTAAAAGTAGCATCTGTTTTTTTTGTTTGTTTGTTTTTTGCATCAGTGTACATTAAGAAATGCAGGATCCTCATTTTAATGTTCAACTCCCCTTCAGCTCTAGCAGATAAAAATCTGTGGAGCTGTCACTGTACTGAAGTAAAAAACGATTGGGTTTGAAAAAGGGGGCGATAGCACGAAAAAAGATTAGGGCCACTGAAAAAATTTAAAAAGTTTACTGATTTTTACATGAGATATTATACTGACATATTTTTTCTCAGAATTCTGGCTTTAATTTCAGAATTCTGACTTTTTTCTTAGAATTCTGACTGAATTCTGACAGCTAAACATGTTAGTATCAAGCCGTAGCCATATCTGTTTTATAGACTAGCTCTCTTGTTTTAATCACCTTCTGCTCTTCCATTAATGAAATAGCATCACTGGGGACCCTTCGGGCACATAAAAAATCGCCTAAATCCATCATTTTCCAGTGTGTTACTGGCCCTCTCAAAAAACTCACATCTTTGTCAGTGAAGCTTGTTGCTCCAACATCTCTTCCTTAATGGTGCCCATCTACATTAAGATAAACAATTATGAGATTAAAGTCAGAATTCTGAGATTAAAGTAAGAATTCTGAGATTAAAGTTAGAATTCTGAGATTAAAGTCAGAATTCTGAATAAAAGTCAGAATTCTAAAAAAAAAAAAAATCAGAATTCTGAGATTAAAGTCAGAATTCTGAGATTAAAGTTAAAATTCTGAGATTAAAGTCAGAAATCTAAGACTGAAGTCAGAATTTTGAGATTAAAGTCGGAATTCTAAGAAAAAAGTATCAATTCTGAGGAAAAAAATCAGAATTCTGAGATTAAAGTCAGAATTTTGAGAAAAAAAAGTCAAAATTCTGAGATTTAAGTTAGAATTCTGTGAAAAAGTCAGAATTCTGAGAAAAAAGTCGTATTCTGAGATTTAAGTTAGAATTCTGAGATTAAAGTCAGAAATGTGAGACTAAAGTCAGAATTCTAAAAAAAAAGTCAGAATTCTGAATGAAAGTCAGAATTCTAAAAAAAAATCTGAATTCTGAGATTAAAGTCAGAATTCTGAGATTAAAGTCAGAATTCTGAGATTAAAGTCAAAAATCTAAGACTAAAGTCAGAATTTTGAGATTAAAGTCAGAATTCTAAGAAAAAAGTATCAATTCTGAGGAAAAAAAATCAGAATTCTGAGAAAAAAGGTCAGAACTCTAAGAAAAAAAGTCAGAATTTTGAGATTAAAGTCAGAATTCTGAGACTAAAGTTAAAACATATAAAAATATGTGTTTAATGTAGTTTATAAACTGTTACAAGTAATTCGCTGTATTTTGCTTCCCCAGATCTGGAAAAAATATAGTGAATTAATTTTGAATTCACCATTGACATCTGGTGAAGTAGATGTAGGGTTATGAATAAGTAAATTAATAATATATGTAGCATTATCTATAACTAATTGGTAAAATTTAATGATTTTACTTCCATAATTTTTTTTTTTATTTGTGTAGAAATTAAGCAAAAAAGATTAAATAATACTACTTATACTTCAGCGATAGTATCAAGGTGCTACTTTATTGTATATCTTGTTCCATGTCCGTTGGTTGTGCTGTTTTTTTTACATCTCTCTTACATCTGCAGAGAGATGCAAAGTCATTTACTGACCTTTACAATGCACTGACTGGCATTAGACAGACACATTATTTTAACAATTGAAAAGAAAAAAAATATGTAAAGTTTTCTTAAGAATTCATACTGAGTGCATCTATAGATGAGGTACATTATATATTCCTGCATATGTGTGTTTTTTAAAGGAAAATATAACAACAACATCCTTAAGAATATTTGCTGATGAACTTTTCTTGAGGTTGCTATGAGGAGGCTTATGGTCTGTTAGCGCCCCCTTGCGCATGCAGTGCGTCATTACATTTACTTACATTTTCCTTTAAGTATTATTTTGAACTGCTGAGGCTATACTGCTGTAGATCAGTTGTGAAGTTAAAGACACATTATTTCCAGTAGTTCTGGATGTCTTCCATTTGGTTATCTTACCCTTATTTTATGTTTTCACAGCTTTAAAAGAAGTCTTTTTAGGTGCCGTTAATATTTTTGGTTGTTTTGTTGTTGCTTTTTTAGTGTACATAGTAAAATGTAGTTCTTCTCTAATGGATATGATGTCAAAGAAAAAGAAAAGCAGAAAAAATGTATTCTCAATGCTAAACTGGTTTCCCTCAAGTACTCAAACCATACAGAGCATTTATTAGACTGTGTAAGTAATTAATTAGACTACATATGTTTGTTTTATTATTTTTGAAAGCAAATATTGTCTCTACAGGGTTAGAATCACAATAGAATAGATAAGTCCTTTATTGTCCCACAGAATTCATATGAAGTAAAGGAATAAAGAATAAGTCCAGGATAAACCAGTTACCCAACACCTCAACCAACTCCACCACAAAAAATATGTTTAAGTTTGGATGCTTAGGTTTTTATAACAAATGAAGTATTTGCAGAAGAGTGTTGAAATTTAACTGAATAAATTCAAATAACCAACTGAAATGTTCAGACCAAGAACAACATTTTTATATTTATTTAAAAGAGTGAAAAAAATCCCAACTACTATAATATCTCCAAGTAGTTTACAAGATATTTATCACATTTTTTTAAATGAAAGCAGCCATTTTTAAATTAATGTGTAGCTGCTGTGGGAGCAACAGCAAAAAGGCCGCTGAGAGGTCGCTCCAAGGCTACAATGGAAAAAAAAATGCTTTCCTCTCATTAGCACTAATTATTACAGGCCTCCAGTGACATGGATTGGAGCAGGTTATCGTTTCAAGCTCTCAGTGGGTAAATCATACATGAGCAAATGGATTTCTGAGCAGGGAAAGAATGGTTACACTGTGGCATAGCGAGCGGGACCAGGACAGGATCGAAAAGGAGATGGTCCACTGGGGAAATCAGACAGGAATACAGGGTTGTGTGAGGGAGTGGTCTCTGTCAAGCTCTGCCGCTTCCTACGGTTACGTCTCTGGTAGCGGAAATTGAATGGTGGACGCCGGGCCAGTAAGGCTCCACTTTCCTCAGAGGACGAATCCAGAGTTCCTGCAGTGTGCTGTTGTCGGTTTACTATGCTCTCTTCAGACTCACTGGAAGAAGAGAGGACAGGGGCAGAGGGGTTAACCAGAATTGGGGCCTCTGAAGGGAGGGAGGGTATAGCTGTAGGGTCAAATGGAGCTTGCTGAGTAGCGGAGGAAGTCGAAGGGTGAGAGGGAATGGGCTGCAGGTCATTTACTGGGTCATCAGGCAGAGGTGGAAAGGTTGGGATCACAGGGTCTGTAGGGAGGTCAAGAACCTGCGGTTTCACTGGTTGGACCATGTCAACATTCTGCAGACAAACATAGAACATCTCACTGCAATTACATATAACCAACCTATACTAACATGCAGAAAAAACGGTTAAATCCTATTTAATATATTGAAGCTCCTGTTTTGTAATAGCTACAGCATAAATGAAAATAGACAATCCAACCCTGTTAGGTATTAACTGTAGATTATTCCAGAAACGATTCATTTATA